GTCCGTACGTAGATAAGTTGACTTCATTAAATTGTTCATTTGGTTTACTCTCATTAATTAATTTTGGCTTTTGCGTTTCTATGTCTGGCCAATTAGGTCATATTTGATACGATTATAATATGAGATAATTAATTTCATCTTTAAAATACAGATTATGGGATAAAATGATGTCAAAATTAACTAATACTTATAGCCAAACATAAAGTAGAATAATTTCACATCTTATTTTGCGTTTCTAGTTAATCTCAAAATTAGCTTACTTTTCAAAACAACAATTTTGAACTAGTCAATATTAGTGTAATTTCTTGTCAACAATTTCTACATTTTCGAAACTTGGTCAACAAGAGTGTAATGTGTTACTATTAGAATTAACTTAAAATTTGTAAGTTTCTCGACCTTTAACTATTTATAGACTCAATTACTCTTTATTGGTGAATTTTAATTTTAGATATTTCAATATTTTATAAAGTACATTTGATTTTCAATTAATTGAAATATAATACTTGATCATTTTTCTTATGAACAGTCATAAATATATTATAATTATTAATCATTTAGTCACCTAATTATCCATGTATTATATGAAGCTTATATTATTACCCATAATAGGCAGTAAAATAGTTACAAAAGTATTTCCTATATATAAAATATATAAGGGCAAAAAATAGTAGTATTTTTTAATTAATGGAAGATTATACGTTATTGATTAATAAGTACTATCATAAATTTATTACTAATAATTGAAGGACCAAATGTGTTATTATACGAAGATCCGTTGAGTATAACTTTTAACCCGAGAAATAGTGATAACAGTACAGTAATTAAACTTCTTAATCTATATTATTATCACTGCAGAAATTGATTAATTAATTCCAATATGTAAAATTCATCGGCTTCCATTTTTTTGATTCTTCAGTTTTCTTCATCTTTATAATTCTCTGCATCTTCTTCACCAAAAAGCTCGAATCCTTTTTTTTTTTGCTTTTTTCCAGATTCTGAATTTCAAATTTGGATTCTTAGCGATGGAAGCACCAGAGAACGACGCCGTAGCGTTCGAGTCAGCTGAGAAGATAATTCTCCGGTGGGATTCTACGGTGTCGGAAGAAGCTAGAGAGAAAATGATATTTGACGGCGATCGTTACGAGATCAATCGGTATTTGCACGCCGTCGATGAAATCCAACGGTCAATGGAGTCCACAACACTCTCCGACGACCAAGATAAAGCTAATAGTGCGATCCAGATCGCCATGGCTCGGCTTGAGGATGAGTTTCGCAGCATACTTGTTGCTCACACAAATGCAATCGAGGCTGATTCGTTAACTGACCCTAGTCCTTCTCCAGTCCACTCCGGCGAATTCCAGGTGCCTGAAGAAGACTACCATGATACTCCTACTGACGATGATTCGTTCACCAAAGATTTGGAACATCAAGAGAGTAGCAGCAGCAGCTATCGATCTACTAGCAGCATCCGCGAAGTTGATCTCATGCCGCCCGTAGCAATATATGATCTCCGGAGTATCGCCGAGCGAATGATTTCCGCTGGATATCTCCGGGAGTGTATTCAGGTCTACGGTAGTGTACGGAAGTCCGCTGTGGAGTCGAGCTTCCGCAAGCTTGGAATAGAGAAACTCAGCATCGGAGATATCCAGAGACTTGATTGGGAGACTTTGGAAACAAAGATCCGAAGATGGATACGAGCTGCCAAAGTATGCGTTCGTATACTCTTCGCTAGCGAGAAGAAACTCTGTGAGCAAATCTTCGAGAGTTTGGGCACGGCGACTGATGATGCTTGCTTTATGGAGACTATTAAAGGACCAGCTATACAGCTGTTCAATTTCGCTGAAGCCATTAGCATTAGCCGGCGATCGCCTGAGAAGTTGTTTAAGATATTGGATCTTCATGACGCTTTATCCGATTTACTGCCTGATGTTGAAATTGTTTTCGAGTCAAAATCTTCAGAATCAATTAGAGTTCAAGCAGTAGAGATATTGTCTAGGTTAGGGGAGGCTGCTAGAGGGATACTGTCGGAATTTGAGAATGCTGTACTCCGTGAACCTTCGAAGGTCCCCGTTCCAGGAGGGACAATTCATCCCTTAACTAGGTATGTGATGAACTATATAAGTCTAATTTCGGACTATAAGAAGACAATGGGTGAATTGATTGTTTCACAGCCATCGACGGGATCAAGGTATTCAAGTGATCCTAACACCCCTGATATGGACTTTGCGGACCTAGAAGGGCTGACACCATTAGCGCTTCATTTGATTTGGATTATTGTCATTTTGCAGTTCAATTTGGAAGGTAAGTCTAAGCACTATAGAGATACCTCTTTGGCTCATTTATTCATGATGAACAATGTCCATTATATTGTTCATAAGACTAAAGGGTCACCTGAGTTGGGGGAAATGATTGTAGATGATTTCTTGAGAAAATTAACGGGGAAATTTAGACAAGCTGCTACCAGTTACCAGAGAGCAACCTGGGTGAGGGTTTTGCATTGTTTGAGAGATGAGGGACTACATGTGAGTGGCAGTTTTTCATCGGGTGTGTCCAAGAGTGCATTGAGAGAGCGTTTCAAGACGTTCAACGCCTTGTTTGAAGAAGTGCACAGGACTCAGTCCACATGGTTGATACCAGATACACAGCTCAGGGAGGAGCTGCGCATTTCCATAGCCGAAAAGTTGATTCCTGCCTATAGATCATTTCTTGGACGGTTCAGGAGCCATATAGAAAGCGGAAGGCATCCAGAAAACTATATCAAGTATACTGTGGAGGACCTAGAGAATGCTGTCTTAGATTTCTTTGAGGGGTACGCTGTGTCACAGCACTTGAGAAGAAGATCTCAGTGAAAGAATACTAGTTTCAACAGTTAGTACTTTAGGACATTCTTTGAATTTTTTTCATGGAGTTATTCAGGGGCTAAGGTTATGGCATTCTGGTGTTTCTCGAGTTTCTGCTTTCATTTGTAGTATTCCAGGGTGATGGGCTGCTGAAAACTTCAGGAAGATCAGCTGTATCTATCAAGAAGGGTCAGTGCCTCCTGCCTCTGGATGCTCTGCCCTGTAAGCATGTTGTTGTTGTATTTCTTCCATACTTTTAGACTTTATTTCAATTTGTCCATATCTGAACTGTTGTATTGATTACTTTCTTGAAATTTTATCATAATCATGATTTTGTTAACTTGAGTCCAGAATTTAGTTTAGTTTGGATGACTTCTACGCTGCTGCGATATTGTCCTTTGGAATATATCCTCTTGTAAGTTTATCTTAAATCAAGAATGTAACAGATTTTCCTACGATGGCAAGGGCCTCAGTAGGTGACAATAAATAAATAAAACCATGGTCTTGTGATTGTAAAGACTTGAAATTACCAATTGTTGCTTACTACTGTCTTCTTATTGTGTTTTAAGTCTCCGTCTTTCTTAGAAATGAAACAATTGTCCGTGAATTTTTAAATTTTACACGGGAAATTCGTGGGGCATGACTAATTATCTCAATGTTTCATGTATAACCATGCTGATTCCTTGGAATGTTTGTTGTTAGTTTGTACTTATTTTGTTTTCTCAACTAAGACGATTGGTGCTGTGGTGCTTATTCAGCTATTATGGGTAAAAGCTACTAACTAGTTCTGTTGACATGATTTTCTCAATCATGGAATACTTGAACTGGACATATATCATGAAAGTTGTTCTTGTAAACTAGAAATTGAATTCCCCGTTTGTTATACACTGTCATGATAGAAGTGGCTAATCTGTGGTTACAAGCCACAAGGAGCATCTGATTAATCCAGTAGATTTAGTGCAGCAGATTCATGCAATCTTTGTTGTTTATCCTCCAAATATTTCATCTCTACAGGCCTTCTGGTTGAAACACTGAAGTGTGCTGCATCTGATGGTCAGAACTTACAAGGTGTGCCTTCCAATGTTACACATCTTTTTGCTACCTCTTCACTCACCAAGTACTCCCTGTTTATGTATTCTCAAATGTGGTTATCTGTGTCCAAAGTAGAAATCGTCCTCTATTCTTACGTAATGGCAGAAAATGTAGAATATTTACTGACCAAGATGTTCAATTACTAATCTGTTCAAATACCATTTGTAGATTTGATTACTACACCACTTGGATATCTGTTACATAAAATCCATGTTTCTGTTTTTTTCTACTTTAGCTGGTGTTGCCACTTTAAAGTACTTAAAATGGCCTTTTTCCCATTTATGAGGAGTTACTATGAAAAACTCTTCAAACTAATAATTCTTGTGCCGTGCTTATTCTTCTATTTCAATAGAAGATATAGGAAGATTGAGTGTGGAGTGTGGATGTTCATTTTGACTTGGATTTAAAAGTGATAGACGACCTAATTTGTGTCATTTTTCAACCGGGAAACTAGATCTTTACAGTTGGTGTGATGCTTCATCTGCCATCTATTCCTACTTTTCAATTATTGTGGGTCCTTATTTATCTATTTAGATAAAGAGCCTATGTGTCCCATTATTAAATGAGCTCTTAAGGGTCACAATGGGGACCCAAGGGAAAAAACAGAAGGAAGATCAGCTTTTAGTATGGGTTTTTGAGATGAATGTTCCATTGGGAATCAAACATCTATGCCTTTCTGTATAACTTTTGTACTTTAGGAGTTTGTAAAACTTGGTCAATTATTTCTTCTCTCGTGTATAACAGCAAAACAACTACGATGACTAAACATATTCTCAACTAATTGATCTTTTTATTTCATGGATTTTAAGAGATTGTAGGTCTTTGATACAATTTTCTTTCACATAATGTTAGGTCTGTCTATCTTTTGATATCATCACTCATCATCGAAACCGACATAACTAGACCAATCTCATATTATCCTTGGTATACTTAGCACTTTGTGGTGAATGTGCTCGTCTATTGCTTTATCGTGTATGGTTATGCTTCCATATTAATATGCGCTTCTTTGTGACACTTAACTTCTAAACCATTTTAACTATAAGAATAGTTGCAAGAGAGATCATATAAGATAAATGAGCATTACTTCTAAAAAAACAACAATTACAAATTTGTTTTACCTAATAAAAACTTCTCCTGATTAACATTCGTACTTTTTATACAGACAACACAGATTACATGATTCTAACAACAATTTACTCAACTGGCGGTACCTTTCTTTACCATACTGTAAAAAGTTGTGTCTTGCTTTACTCAGTCTTGTCTTCTACGTCATCGCCATTAGATAGTTCACTGTTACCCAGCGCTGGTCTCACTTCAGGTTGGCTTCTAACATCCTTTGGCAGCAGAGGGGACGGCTTTATGAGTGTTAATGTAGCGTCCTTGTCGAACTCTTCACCATCATCAGAGTAGGCATATCTGTTATGTAAGCATATAAAATAAACCAGTGAGTGTTGAGATTTGCGTCGGAGAAAAGACTGAATATTGCCAAAAATAAAGCCGTTATAGCCAGCTATTATTGTAAGTAAGACTCACTATTATGAGATTTTGACTTCTTATAGTGATGAAAATAGAAAGATGCTATGAGATGTTTGAACAGAATGATTCAGGATTTATAAATTTGAAAGTTTGCCGAGTACAGGAAAAAAATAACAAATAAAGGTTTGGATCCCATTTAAACACAAGATATAAAGCTGCAGATATGACGAAATGATAAGAACTAGAAGGGGGTTAGAGTAGTGAGAACTCTGTAAAATGCATGTACATACACAATAAGGTGGAAGGTGGGTAGTACCTCATGGAGTTTTGAGATGGTGCCCAAAGAACGCAGATGATGCAAAGGAGAGAGAAAGATAGCACTTGCCAGAAGGCAGGAATAATCCAGGCATTTCGCCAACGCTCATTGTACACATCAGTGGACTTGAAGTACAGCTGCCAAAAGGGGTGAAAATGGTCAATGCTCATTGTATACAATATCAGGAACAGTTGAGAAAATAATGAACCCTATGCCTGATGTAGTTGGACGAATATAAGATATGATCATGCTCAATTTCTAGAAGGTGCCCTTTCTCTTGAAGGTAATACATGGAGTGTCACAACCCAAGTCGAACCTGAATTGAGTTGTGAGGCAAATGGCAAACCAAGAATCACTTGTTGAAGTTCCTTTCTTGACTAGTAAAAAAAAATAAATAGGGAAAAGAACAATTGATTTGTGATGCTTTGACACATTTCGTGGCATAAAACATATGAAAATGAATAACAGAATGATTGCAAAACATTATAAAGGCCTATTTATGCTTCTGTTTCCCGTATTATTGGAAATTAGGTCCCCTCTCCAGAAAATTGGATTGCAGGCCAAATTTGGTGGATTATACATGTTCCTTTTTTTGGTGTTAAGTCATTCTGCAAAAGTAATCCTGTTCACATCAAGCAGACCAGTCGACAATAAGGTCCTTATAACCACTTCCCTTTATTAACTCAGATTCTTCGAACAGGCAACAAAGATACTTGACAGAAGTTACTAAAAGAAAGAACCAGCCACATCATGTAGGAATTGAAAATTACCTCATAGCACGTCCATCCAACAGATACAATAACAGTGACAGCCAATGCATTTGTGAACTTCCGATAAATGTCTAATTTGGCCAACAACCTTCTAGCCTGTCAGACACCAAATCCAGCAACTGAATTAGCACTAATGGAGCCTAAATTGAATTATACTAATAACTGAATGACGTCATATCATGATCAATCCCAGCCCCAAACGCCCTAAGATAAGGCAAAGGAAAAAGCTTCCTTTATTGCAAGAATTAGGCACTACAACCAACAAAAAGATACCAGTACACCTTTCCGAATGAACTTCATGATTAATATAATATGTAACACAAATAGAGCTACTTAGGTTATTAGTCACAAGTGTAATAAGATCTCTGCTCATGAAAGTAAAACCTGAGGCAAGTAAGGCGTAAAGAAACGAAAACATTCTCTAAACTAGCAATCCACAAACAAATGAAATCACAGTAACTAATAGAAGCCAACAATTTACCTGAAGCTTATTCACAGTTGCCGACAAGGAGGTGAATATCCAAAGGATAAAGAAAGCATCCAAGAATGCCACAGGAAGTACAAAAAACAACCTTGCTTTTCCTGAGAAATCACTGACAGCCCCAACATTTTCCACCAGTTCAAGCACTTCGGAAGCCAAAAAGAATGTTCCTCCAAGCAAAAGGACCTTTGATGTGAGACCACCCAGAGTAGGTCTAACGACACCATAGCCCATAGAGACTATCAGAATGACCAAACGTGCAACTGTGCGCTTTACTGTACCAAATGTCACAGCCCATACAGTGGTACCAGTGGGCCTGACTCCAGTTTCATTGAATTCAGCATAGTCAAAGTACCAAAAGGCCATTTCAAGCATGCCCAATGTTATAACGAGTGTAATACAATTTTGTAAAGGAATAACTTCTCTCCAAAATCTTGCATACTGCGAAAACCAAAAGATCCCTAGTAACACGAATGCAAGAGACATGTACCCATAGAAGTTCATAAGGGGAGCCATTCTACCAGGTAGGTAACCAGTAGGATTCTTCCATATGGTTTTCCCTTCAACAGTAATTTCCTTAAGATTTGGTTCACAGTGAATAAAATACACGTTATACATCCCAGTTTTTGTAATGGGGATTGATCTCGACTGCAGTGCTACATCAACTTCATCAATGCTGAATGAGGCACTAAAAACTTTAGGCCATCCGGGATTACTAGCAGATGGGCGGTGAATTATTTGCCCTTGTGTACAAACTCCAAGTTTTGCAAGATCTGCTGTGCAACAAATAGCTCTTTGTCCACCATAAGCAGAGCCCCCAATTAACTCTCGATCATCCACCTCAAAAATAATTGCATGAATTGGGTCTGAGCTGAAGTTTGAGAATTCCTTTGGCCTCCGAAATACAATCTTTTCAAACCTGTTGAACATGTGATCGTCAGAAATTTATAGACTCTTACGCATAAAACTGGGAAAACACATGAATGACAACACTCATTTCCAGAGTCTGGCATGACTGAGAAAATGCATAAGAACAAGCCCATTAATTTCCATGGAGCATGACTTTTAAATAGAAAAAACACGAAAGTTAATCGAAATACAAAGCAGTTGGATCATCTGTATGAATCCTCTTAATCCATCTGACTCTATTCGGCCCAAACTAAGTACAGACTACTTAATATTGTGAGAAAGCAAAATTCATTTATCTTCTTTCGCTCAACTATGGATTTCATACATAAGCTTCTCATTAACAAAAATAATTCAACCTTAATGGTTGAACTATGGTTGCTTTTAGCAGCAGAAATTTAAGGAAGACAGCTTTAATAGTAGTGCTAAATTGTTTTGGCTTTTGGTAATGGATCACATAAGACTTAAGAGTTTTTTACTAACTAGGTAACTACACAGATCCAAATTGAGCAGCGCCACATTGATGGTTGAGTTAGCCATGTTTTTAGCAGCCGAATATCAAAGAAAATTTAGCTTCAATTGTCCCTTTGACTGATTTTGAAGCCGAAACTTGAAAATTTGAATTTGTGAAATTTAAATTTTTGGAACTTTTAGTTGTGTATGGACATGCATTTTACTTGGGAAAAATTGAAGATTAGCGAGTGTAAGTCCCAAAAATTGCACTGAGCCCCTTTTTGTGAACTTGAAAATATTTGACCATCAGATTTTCAATATATGATAAAATTTCATGGTCAAACAGATAATTGAAGATAATTTTTCAAAAACTACTCCCAAAATCTATAATGGAGCAGAACAACACTAGTAGCTTTACTATCTAAGTTTAAAAAAAGACAAATAAATAATTCTGCTCCTTCCAATTTAACCTGAACACATAGAATGATACCGTCATTTATAATTAACAATTCTCACAACAGATCTCGATATATTTCATCTTAAACCGTACCTAAAAACAGTTAAACAATTGACTGGAGAGAGAGAGTAAAATTACCGAATGAAGGAGTCGGTGTTGGAAGAATAGGAAGGAGATTCAGTGAGGTTAGGAACAGAGGAGTAAATTCCTTCGCTACCTCCGTGAACCACAAATGCATTGCCCTTGCTCACAAATTTCTCCCCATTGTAGTCATGCACTGAAGCTTCAGTCGTCTGGAACAGCCATAGCCATAGTAGAAATAGTACTCCTGAAGCTCCAATTGACTTCAACGATAGCATTTGCCGAATTGAGAGATCAGCTCAGTGAGTGAGAGAGTAGCAGATCTGCTGTTGCTGAAGTAACAGCAATAGGAACATCCACTACCGGAGTGAACGAGATTGGACCCACCGGCGACTACGTTTCACTATTAAATATATTCGTTTAATTGAGGTAAGCTTGTGTAATGTGTACGCCGAGCAAATGATTTGTTTATTGTTCACTTACGTTTAAATAGTGAAAATGCTTTAATCATTTCTCGATTTTGAATTTCAAATATTAAAAAAATAATAACATGAAGGATAATTTATTAGATGTTAATTTTATGTAGAAAAAAAAAGATAACGGAAGAAAGTTCTTTTTGTAAAAATGTTGTAGTATTCTTTATTTTAATTAGTTCGTCTTATTTTATTTTATTTTATTGGCAATTTTGAAAATTTAACTTTCTACTTAATATACAAGAAAATATACGATTAAAGAATATTTTAATATATTTTTGATTTACAATTACAAAATTTTTAAAAAATATATTTTTTTAAAATTTTATATTAAATTAAAATCAAATAAATTAATTAAAACGGATTATTTTTTTCCAGTGACTGTATTAAAATAACATTATATAGTATAGTATAAGAGTACATGTTGGATGTGAATAACTGACATGTGTAACTTAAAAGTAAGGTGCATGAAAAAATAGAGAAAAGAAGAGGTGAAGAATTTTTTTATTTAAAAAAGAAAAGGTGAAACAAGACACCTAGCTCAACCTCTTCCATTCCAGAATATGTTTTTGTTGAATGACAAGTTATGTAATGAATAATAATACAAATATTACTTAGGCACGAATTGGTAATATGTAAATTAAATCAATTACGCAAGGAATAATAATCTGAATATTTGTATTGTATAATAACAACGCAAAAAAGATTGAATTGATATAGCAAATAATATCTTATAAACAAGATCAAGAAATCAATCTACTCATCGTACCTAATATAGTTTATACCTCCTGAATTTATCTAACGCAGCGGAGCCGCTTCAGATTTTCACTGTCGGTTAGCTCGGTGTTAAAGTGATTATTAATTGTCACTTGTCCATTTTTCCACGTACTACGATACCTCTGAATTGATGATATGGATCAACAAAGTCGTTGTCGGTTCATTGCTTTTTCTTCACTTTGGCACTTGCTGGCAATGTTCCGGTATCATTACGGCAGAGATACTGAGAAGAAGTACTATTTCTTGCACGTGGTCTCACCTCCCCTTGTGTAATATGATATACTTAAAACAACTCGACTTTCTTCTAATGTCAAACACTAGTTTTTCACTTGACAACTCTATGGTGTTGAGTTAAGACGGGGCCAAACATGCACCTTTTTTTTCCAATTAATTTAAATCGTGCCAAAACCATAAATATACCTAAAAATAAAGAGGGTAAGATCCGAGCAATGCGCTTGATTAAATAGTTTGACCTAAATAAGAAAAGGAAATACACCAGAACTCCCATTTCACAGCATATACAGCGTCTAACATAAAACTACAGTTCCTCCAGGACTAGCATAAAAAGGAAATGGAACAACTCAAGACTTGTTTCACCATTCACCATGTCTAATACCAGTAACCTTTACTCAAACATCATAAAAGAAACAGATGTTACAATGAACACAGAATATCCCAAGAGAAAAGGAAAACCACGCAGCAACTGCGATAATATTTGCAGAAGACATGGAATTATCGTAAACAACAGGAAACCTCAATCCATATCAAGAAATTCCATCCTCTTCCTCATTGAGCCTTTAAGATCTGTAGAGTCCCTTTCTGCTTTCTGTGCCTGATGGATGGATAGGTGATATGAATTAGAAACAAATCACAAGTCTCAATAAGAAATGTATACGCACAATATAAAGTGGTCCGGGTCCTCAACTCTATAATGTGTTATGACTAAATAAATCAGTCAACCATCAACTAATGGTTAGCCTCAAGTTAATCATGATTTTGCACTTGAAAGAATAGATTTATAAACTAGAAAGATGGAAATGTTATCTCTTTAAAAAGCATATGAAAACATGCACACATAAAGATGCAAGTTATATACAAGATACATTCTATTAACAAGGATTACTGTTTTTTCTTCAGCTTTATAATTTCTTTCTGTGTGTTGCAAAAGGAAAAAGGCTAGCTACATACAGTATTTCGTGTACAAGCTTATCCTTTTCTTTTGGACAAAGGGTTAATTTCATCGATAAAGAGGCATGTAAAAGCTTAACCTTTTTGCAACTTCATACCTTCATCTTTATCTTTTCCACTCCCCACCCCCCATTTATCAAAAAATAACTTTTCATCCCTAAATTTCCAAAACTATGCAAAATACCTACAGCTTTTTTTCCTTCCAACTATATATTCACCAATATAAGTTGCTCCACACCCCAAACTTCACAAGTCATACACCTGCAACAAGTCCATTAAGCATCTGGAAGAGTGAAACTAATAATAACAGGATCTTACCCTTCTTATCTCAGCTTCTGAAACACGTGTCATATGGGGAGGAAGTTCCTCCTTATCCACGTCCTGACCAATCATTACAACATTGTATTAGCCAACGGGTATACAATTATGGGGATAGCACAGAACTTTTTGTATTGAGAGAGAAATCAAGACATACCAGTTCACCAATTAACACAACATTTTCCCCACGTATAATATAAAGACCTAATGGGATATCACAATATAGATCACCAACAATAGCACGCTCACATGCACTTTCAAGAACAGCATTAGCTACAAATAACAGATGGAATTTTTGTCAGGTGGTTAACCGCGGCAGTGATATGGAAAGTAATGACAGGAGAAACCTACCAAATTGGTCAAAAGAACGAAGTATTCCTAAAAGCTTTCGCCCATCTCGCAACAGCACAAGAAGTTTCTCTGTGAGGGATAATGAGTCAAGCCAGAAAAGCAAGAAATAGATCCAGTAAATCAATAAACAGGTTTAGTTATTGCTATCAATCTATGAGCACATGGACATATATATAAGAAAAAGTAAATCAATAAACAGGTTTAGTTATTGCTATCAATCTATGAGCACATGGACATATATATAAGAAAAAGTAAATCAATAAACAGGTTTAGTTATTGCTATCAATCTATGAGCACATGGACATATATATAAGAAAAAGTAAATCAATAAACAGGTTTAGTTATTGCTATCAATCTATGAGCACATGGACATATATATAAGAAAAAGTAAATCAATAAACAGGTTTAGTTATTGCTATCAATCTATGAGCACATGGGCATATATATAAGAAAAAGTAGCTCCCCAATTATTTCTTTTAGTACCAGGCACCCCATGTATTATTGCATTAGCTTCTACTAGAGGCGGATCTAGAATTTGAAGGTTGCGGGTGCCACTGCATTTAATATAAACTTGGTGATGGATATTGAATTTGGGCGTATATTCATCCAATTCAATCCATTTTGAGCTAATATGGGTTGATTTACGAATTTTTTGGTACATAAATAAATATACGATTATCTAATCAACATGAATTTTATCTGATTCAATCAAATTCTGCTGCAAAATGAGAAAAATATGAACAAGAAAACAAAATTTTTTGAATAGGCAATTGCACCCCTTCTTAATCATAAGATACTTAAATCATAAATCATGATAACTAACAAATTGTAACTTATAACGAATTCTATAAAATAATTCTATAAAAAAGAGCCAAAGCATTTTGTATAAGGGATCTCTCATCAACTTAAAGTAAAGACAATGTTTTCATTACAAAAAATCACAAATTATCCATATTAAAAAAGAAATTAATTTGCGAACAAAAACAGAAACTCGTATTTTTTTTAAAATTTTTTGGTAACATTAAAACAAAAACTCTTAATAATAAAGTACAAAAAGAAGCCAATAAACTAGCATAAAACGACCCTTGGCTCTATTGCTTTCGTTTAAAGGATTAAGAAACGAAGTATAAAATTCAATAGATAAAATGTACTTTGAAGGGATAAAAGAGGAAAAAGAATAAAATCACATCCAAGTAAATATTTGGACATTTTGAAGAAAAAAGAAGAAGAAATAATTTAGATAAATAAACTAATTGATGGGTTGCAAAGGAGGAAGAGTGTAAATACAATTACTAAGCTGCTCGGACTCGAGTGCGGGTGTCCATACGGGTGCGGATCTAGAGGTCGGATCCTTCATGATCTAATTTTTAAGCTTCGGGGATATGGATCCATGTACGGATATGGGTGCGGGGATTCGCCTATAAATAATTAAAATATCTAAAAATAGAGTTATAAAACCTAAATTATGACATATTATGTGGAGAACTTGAGAAGAATCACGAAAGGAAATTAAGGAAAATGAGTGACATAAAAATTTCTATATAAAAGGTATTCTATTTTCTTCAATTTCACCTTTAGCTTTTGTATTGAGCATAGCAATCATTAAAATTGTCCAGACTTTCTCCATCGATTTTGGTCAAAGTACCCAAAATCCGTTGACCAAATCAGACACAGATCCCACACCCACACCCATGTCGTGTCGACACAGGCGGCACCAAAAGTGAAGAGTCCGAGCAACTTAGAATACAAAAAAAACACTATAAAGGAAACAAATAAAGAAAGAAAGGATATCCCTAGTATGTTAGAGTCCTTAAGGAGTTCATAGGAAAACAACATCACTTTTGTATTTCTGATTGTAAGTATTACTGGAATACGTCCTGAGTATTCCTGTGTTTATAATACAAGTTACCTTTTCAAAAAAAAATAAAGAAAGAAAGAAGAGAAGTAAAGGAAAAGGCAAAAAAGGAAGAAAAAAAGAAAGAAGAAGAAAACCAAAAGACAAATTGCATTCCAGGAGATTCGAACCACAGCGTTGGGTGTGGCACCCTGTCAGTTGACCAACTGATCAGCAGTCACTATGCCATTGTGGGTGCCAACCTTTAATTATATATCATACTCACTACAATTCCTATACATATATATATGAAAAAATTAATCGAGCACCGGGTGCCGTGGCAACCTCACCGTAACACATTAACTAATTGCTCAAGAGCCGGAAACAACTAATCCTTCAATTTACAGGAACATGCCTCTTTGGTAGAATAAGTAGTACCATAGGTTCCTCTAGAAGGAATAGGGACCACATATACCTATAATAATCGTGGTTTCTATCATTTAAGCTGCCAAGACAAGAACACAGGAGGCATAGGAAAAAAGGGTGCAATTCATTTTTTTATAATGTTGGTGTCCATACCAGCTTGCTCTCACCTCAACTATTCAACTAGGTATTTGCTACTACCTCCCACAGTAAACCATTGGATAACTATGCTCAGTTGCTCACTGAGACTTAAATAGAAGGGTAAAAATCACCTAATATTTTTTGTTTCTATTGGATTTTGAACCTTGGCCTCCAAGGTCTGCACACACTTCATTGATCTAATCACACCCTTGGGTGCAAAAAAACATATTGTGAACCATGTATTTCTACAATTTGCACAAATGTCAAGATAACAGCAAGACTTACTAAGAAAGTTGATTGCTGAATAAGGTAGGCTTTCAAGCGCAAGCCCTTTGTATAATTGAGTGCTTGACTGCACCTTTAATTCTCTGGAAAAAAAGAAGAAAAAGTGGTACTCAAGCACTCAAATATGTAAGTGGCTTGGGCTTGACAGCAACTTTCTTTTATCATTAAGGCTTTCATTTTGAGTTGTCACTACGAGGAAACACAAACAATGATGAACCTTTTGTGGCTCTTTGACCCATGCAGCAGTAGAAAAGATCTATTCCGCCTTAAAAGAAGGAAGCACTCCTCTTCCCTCGCAATATATGAATCAGTGAAAAATCAGCACTTTAGTCATTATGAAGTATACATCGGACATCGCCCATAAAGCACATCTACAGGGAAGGCAACATGGTTGCAGCTGGCTTAGCAAAACAAGGTTCAGATTTAGACTAATAAAGGCTTAAAAATCTTTGATTTTTCCTCCTTTTGTATCAACACTTTGGAGAAAATCTACCAGTGGTATAAATAAGATATACTCCCTTGGTTTCAATTTATTTGTCTTAATTTCCTTTTCAGCCCATTTCAAAAAGTATCTCTTTTCTTTTTTGGCAACTCCTTAATTCTAGCTTTCCACGTGGCATGTTTAATACTACAAGATTAAAGAACATTATGGTACATTCTACGTATCTTTAGTTAAAGATTACAACATTCAAAAATCTTTTTACTTCTCCAAACTTCATGTCAAGTCAAAACGAGACAAACAAATTGAAGCCGGAATTTATCTTTTGAACCTAAAAAAGATGTGCACTCTCAACTTTTTCTCATAATGCAACCAACATCTTCTAGGTATTCTCTCTCCCCATAAACGAAAAATCAATTACATCTCAGTTTTAAACTAATGTACTATGATCAGAATTCAGGAATCAACGCGAGATTACTAGATACGAACAGACAACCATCTGTGTTCAATTAAAATAAATAAGAGGAAACAATCCAATACCAAAACAGCCCAAAAGAACCTTGCAAGTTTAGCAAGACTAGATTTTGAACACCAAAACTACTAGACAACTTTAATAGTACTTAGCATATCGACCTTTCTTTAACATATAATTTATAAAGAAATGAAGAAAAACTCACTGTCAAGATAACTTGCAAGAGAAGTGGAGGTATAGATATCTTCTGGACTTGCCCAAGACATTGATTTGCTTTCAATTTAACGTTTTCGGTATCCCAAAAATCACCGAAACTTCTTCAGATTTCAATTCAATTTGCATTGGCAGATCCGATTACCCGCTTTACAGTGCCCTAACAAAAGCTTCGCCGCTTCACTGAGAACATATAAACTAAAATCCTACCGCTAAATCAAGAATTAGAAAAACTCCAAAGCCCTAAATCTGAGAGAAGTTTGAAAAGAAAAGAATTTGTTGACTTTTGGTTGCTCAGATCGGGAGGAACCCTAAATTCGGCCTATCCCCAAAATTTTGGGGAGTCATACGGTCTACTGCTCTTTCCGATTCTTAATTTTGAGATTTACCCGGCCTACTTTTGTAAATTTAGTTTTAGTTGACTCCTTGAAATATGATAGTACTATCTCTTTATGTGGTCTCTTACTTCTTCATTTTTTTGTCCGCCCAACGATGGAGAGCTTTTGCAATCATCAAAATTTGATATATTTCTATAACGTAATTTTTTACTTAAGGGGTCTCGCTTAATACCTATCGGACAAGGGTAGCTCTGCCCCAGGTCACAATGGTGTGGTATGCCACAAAGCGATTTTTTTATCTTAACTTGCTTTCTATTGTCGATTGAGAACTTTTGCAATCATCAAAATTTGACATATTTATATAACGTAATTTTCATATGAAGGGGAGTCGCTTAACACCCCTTGGACAAGAGTAGCTCTGCCCTGGTCACTATGACGTTGTATGTCACTAATAAGTATTTGATCTTAACTTGCTTTCTATTGTGTTGTGTTAAGATTCGTTATTTTTCGATACTAGGGTACAAAAATAAAATGATGATGGAATTAATGAATTTATTAACGTTCGATTGAATTAAGATTCATGTCATAAACATTTTTCTTTAGTTGAAACGTACTACGAATATAAGGAAAAGTATAATTTAAATATTGATATAGGTTTAATTAGTTGCCTAGACAAGAAGTTATTCGATATTTCTTTCCAAAATTAATCGTTTGCATTTAGAAATAAGCCAATGTTGGTGAATGAGAGATTTATTTTTATTAAATTAAAAAAAAACTACATAAACATGAAACTGTGTTGACATGCATTATGAACTATTCACACATTTCACCATGAATAAAAACATGGCATTTGGTATTAAAAAAAGATTTTCAGTATTGTGATGTTTTATCTTTTATGACATGTAGATAGTGTAAAAATTACTTACGCTGTCAGTGTATATAAATTAAATCCATATATCAGCTGTGGACTGGTCCATAGACAGAGATCATAACGACTCGTAAGGTGAGTGCTCTCAAGCTTCTATATTTTATCTCTTTTATTTCCTCTAATTCTATTACAAGCAGTTCACTACATCTGGAATGAAACACAGTTATACAACTATACATATAAGTAGTGTGACAGTCCAACCACATTTCTGATACATCTGTGGCTGTGTAGCTGCTGATATATTAGCCACATTCTCCACATACTTCACAACAAAAACTAATACACTCAAAACAAGCAAGCGCTGTACAGAGTTGTGCTAACGTCACAGCACATCGATCACTAACCCGAGAGCAGAACTGTATGAAACACATGCAACAGCAAAAGTCACATAGTTTGCCACATAAGTTTGAAGCAGCGGAAAATACCATTTCTGATGTTTCATGCAACTTAGGTTCTGCTGCTTCCACAGGAAGATTGTCTGCAGTTGCCTTCAAGTTACCAAAACCAACACCGAGTGCTCGAAGGTATATGATCTTCTTGACATTCAACTGATCAGAGGCCTTCTGCATATACATTGGTTATCAATCAATACGAGAGCTTTTATTTTTATTAACAAATTCCGCTTGTAAGCTTAAAAGAATGCATTACTGTTGTTTAAACAAATCTATTCTTGAAGTTCCACAAGCACAAGAATGCTAGTTTATTTTTACACAAGTATATGTCTAGATATAATTACCTCATACAGGTCAAAATATATACTTTATGAATCAGACGTAATTTAATGCACTTATCTACATATACTTGTGTATTTGGTATGCATGTTTTGCATACAAATACACAAATTTTACTTTAAGGAAGTGATGCACGCGAATCATAAATCACAGAAGATGGATAGTGTTAAAACCTCAAAAGATGATTTTCTCTAATTTAAAGACAGTTAACCTAGTACATTGACAAACCAACCAAACTCATACCTCGTCTACTGTCTCTAATTTAGACGTCTGCTTCTCCTTTAAATTTTCAACCAAAACCAAGTTGGTGTACTCTGAAGGCACCCCAGTTTGCAAGCTCAATTTTGCAACCTAGAAACAGATATATAGTTTAAGTGAGCATAATTACCATCAAGAAAAAATAATCATGATTTTCAATAGTAGAAGTAACAGTAGTGCAAGGGACTGGAGTATAACGAATATAAATCTCTTAATGTTGCAGGGATTTGCAATCACGTGATTGTGTGAAACTTCTTTATGCAGCACTATAGGAATTAAGATTCATTAGAACAGACCATCTCCTCTAGTTGGTTGTTTTCGGAAAACCAGGCATTGGCAGTTATTGTTTCAATTTGTCTCCTTGCAAAAACCTGCATAAAGGGAACAAGCATAAGTTCTAATTGTGGAAGAGTGCAGATTTGTACTTTTCCTGCAAGGTACATGTAAGCATGCACAGACCAAAAAAAAATACAAACGTGATATTTGTTTGATTAATACGGGGAATAAGAATGCTAGATAGTTCATAGAATCAACCTGTTCTCATAGTAGAGAAAACGTGTACAAGAACAGAATCCAGGTAAAGCTGGAACACCACATACACAGTACTTTTTTCTTATAACTTTCTCCGCAGCATAAGTAAATCAAATTAACATTTCAGTAAGGAATACAAGATGAAAGACCTTACTCTTTCCAAAGGAAAATCCTTTGCTTTTTGTACTTTGACATCGACCACAAAACTGCTCAAATCTGCTAATGTGCCACTAACTTTAACAGAACCAGAGCAGGTCCCGATGAATCTGCCAGAGACAATTAGTGGTCTCGAAGATAACAGGTCCGGCAGATAACATGGATATAGCTGCAA